TCGTTCCAAAGATGAAAAAATAACATTCCTCATCGGTCCAATTCTAAAGAACATATCATAAAATCAGTCACAAGATCAGCTAATAAATAATTCACAAATTACTTACATCATTAGTCATCTTCTTTATCTCTCATCTTTCCTCAAGTTCTTGTGGAGCAATCACAAAAACACCAGAATAACTACATAAGACAAACAGAGAATAAAACCATCAACATAAGACAAATGGAACCAGTGTTCAGACAAGTTTGGTTAGACATTAACCTAAAACAGCAACACAAAACTGGTTTTTTTTCTATTATCTATCTACTTATTTGACAAATTCATATAAAATCAAAATGATGTATCCCATAATTTTTCTGAAAAGAGACATCAATATAATGAACATGTCTAAAACAAAATTTGAATTTGTAACAAACACACACGATTACATATGCAATAAGATAAGAAGACGACAAACGTTCATACAAAGAGAGGCACGAGGGCCAACTAACTAACGAGCTCGATTGATTTAATAGCAAAACAATTAATTAACGATTATAAACAATACAATCGATTACACATATAAAATACACCAACAAGAAATCGACTTTTAATAATTAATTAAATTTATTATATACGGTTTAGTAGTATATCACATATCATAGATATGATTAACCATATAAAATATCATTATATATGCAATTCCATTTTTTTGGAATATTCTAATGATTTGTTAGGGTCCAATCATTTTTAACAAACCGTTCAAAACAGTAGTAATTAACCTTAATTAAAATGAATTAGCTAGAAAATTATTCAATTATAAATATCATAATCGATGGAGCAAGGTTTTTGTGTGGTTGGGAGCTTGATGAATATGTAACCTACTGCAAACTATGTTTAAATTTTTCCTTAATTTAAAATTTTTTAATCTGTTTTTTTTTTCAGATGGCACAAACATAAATCTAAACAAATATAGTGAATTGATGAATGTTTCTTCTCTTACAGTAAAAATCATTGCTCAATGGCCCAAAGATATATTTGATGTCTCAAACTCATTTTACTAGAATATACCTCGCGCGATGCATGAATTTTTCTCTTGCAATTTTGGTAAATTTAGTGACAATTTTTTTTTAATTAATTAAGTACTTTTATCTTTATAATTAACAGAACAACCAATTTTTATCTATATGATGGAGTATATAATTTGAATTGAAATGTATGAAAATATGAAGTGATACTTATTCATTTCAATATCGATAGTTTCTATTTGAAAATAAATATGTTTGTTTGAGACTT